TAGTGTCTGAGTCTCCTCGCCGCATTGACGAGGGCTAGAGCCACCTTTTCTATCTGTTGGTATCTGCTTTTGGGTCCTTGTAGGGCTTTGCTCGTGAAGTAGACAGGTTTCTGTCCGTCGATGGTCTCGCAGATGAGAGCCGCGCTGATGGCTTCGTTCGAGACGGCCAAGTATAACAACAGTGGCTCCTCGTCGGCTGGTCGAGATAGTACGGGTGGTTGAGATAAACTTTGCTTTAGGTGGCACAGCGCCCGTTCACACTCCTCGTTCCATTCGAAGGTTGCTTCCTTACGAAGGAGTTTGAAGAAGGGGAGGGCGTGTTAAGCGGACCTCGCGACGAAGCGGGACAATGATGTGAGCATGCCGTTCATGATTTGTATAGACTTCTTCGACGTCGGTGTCGGGAGGTCGGAGAACACCCGGCATTTGTCGGGGTTGGCTTCAATTCCTCGTTCTGTTAGGTAGAATCCGAGGAACTTTCCTGCCTTGACTCCGAACGTACATTTCTCGGGGTTGAATCTCATTTTACATTGTCTTGCTTGGGCAAATACTGCCTTGAGGTGTGCCGCATGGTCGGCATCTGCTCGAGATTTGACGATCATGTCGTCCATGTAAACCTCGAGCATGTCCCCAATCTGTTTGTGGAAAACCTTGTTCATCATGCGTTGGTAGGTTGCCCCGGCGTTTTTCAGTCCGAAGGGCATTTCGTTGTAGTAATAGTTGCCCGAGCTGGTCATGAAAGTCGTGCAGTGTTTGTCGCCCACGGCCATCGGGATTTGGTTATAGCCCGAGTAAGCATTCATGAACGACAATGTTTTGTAGCCGGCCGAGTTGTCGAAAAGCATGCCTATGTTTGGTAAAGGAAAAGCATCTTTCGGGCAAGCCCGGTTGAGATCGGTATAGTCAACACACATCCTCCATTTTCCATTATTATTTTTAACAAGTACAACGTTTGACAGCCAGGTGGAATATCGGGCTTCAGAAATGAAATTTTCCTATAGGAGGTCTTTTACAGCTTTTTCAGCAGCCTTCGTTTTCTCTGGAGACTGCCTACGCCTACGTTGTACTACAGCCTTAGCGACAGGGTCTATAACGAGGTGGTGACAGGCGACCTCAGGGTCGAGTCCGGGCATCTCTGCGGCGCTCCAAGCGAACAGGTCAGCATTCTCGCGCAAGCAGACCTTGATTTGCTTCCTTGCCAGGTCGGGGAGATCTTTGCCAATCTTTACTCCTTTGGTCGGGTCTGTGCCGAGGGGGACGAGCTCAAAATCCCCGTCCGGTATTGGTCGGAGTGGAATTTGCTCGCTGTTGAGTGGTTCGTCATGGTCGAAACGAGCGTCCAGAGCTATAGAGTCGACCTTTGGTGGAGCTTTTTAGGCTTCTTCCTTGATGGACTCTTGCTTGTCGGGCTCCTGTCGTGTCTTTTTGGCGGGCCTTGTCGCTATGTCGACAGTGTCGTGTCCCTTAGATGCGGCGTTGAAACACCTCCGAGTAGCGGCCAGGTCTCCTTGGATAGTAGCTACCCGTACCCTTTTGGTGTAGAATTTCATCTTCAGGTGGACGGTCGAGGGCACCGCTGTCAGTTCTGCCAGTGTTGGTCTCCCCAGGATGCAGTTGTACAGAGACGGGCAGTCGATGACGAGGAAGCGTACTTTGACCTGTCTTGTCGCCGTTTCTTCGCCGAATGTAACCAGGAGCTCGACATACCCCCAAGGCTTGGAAGTCGAGCCGTTGAAACCTTGTAAGTCCGACCCTACATATGGCGAGACATGTGAGTCGTCCAGCTGTAGAGTTCGGAATAGTTGGCTGTACATCACGTCAACGGAACTTCCTTCGTCGACGAGGATGCGATGCACATCAAAATTGGCCATTCTTGCCCTTACCAGTAAGGGGATGACCGCGTTTGGGGCTCCGCCGGGGAGCTCTTCTAGGTAGAAGGTGATGGGTTCTGATCTGCCCTTCACCCTTTCAAACGTCACTGTTTGCGGGGGCGCCGCGTCGACCAGCTCGTCCAGCTTCCTTTTAGCCGAATTAATGGTCAAGTTGTTGAATCCGCCGCCGTTGATGACCATGGTGGAGGGGAAATATTCCCACCTGCTGTGCGTTGTGAGAGGCTCCTGCAGGTGTTCGGGGATGTCGAAGTCCTCGGGCCTGGTCACGGAGAAGGCGGTCTGGATGGGGACCGAGTCGTCAGATGGTCGGGCATCTTCCTCCGGCTCCCTTGTCTCCTGGGCGTCACGACGGGGAGCGTCGCTTCGCCGGTATTGTGCGAGCCTCCCTCCCTTGATGAGGGTTTCGATGGCGTCCTTGAGGTGGACACAATCCTCAGTCAGATGACCATGGCTCCTATGGTACTGACAATATTTGTTCTTGTCTGCTCCGGGCTTGGCGGGAGCAGGTCGGGGACGTTTGACACCGCCGTCCTTGAAGTCAGTGCTGGCACACTCCGCCAGAATGCGCTCGCGGGAAGCTGTGAGCGGAGTGTACTCGGTAAAACGCCCTGAGGGTCCCCTTTGTTCTCGGACTTCCCGGGGTCTGTCTTCTTTTCTTTTCTCCCCGGTTCATCGAGGTGGAGGAGCTTCCTGACGCGAGTTGCTGTTGGACCCGCGAGTCTTGGGGTCTCGGGCTCTGTTAGCCGCTTGCCTCTCCTTGTAGTCCATGTATGCCCGAGCTTTTTCGAGGAGGGCGTCGAATGTCCTGGGTGGCTCGATGCCCACGACTTTTATGAATTCCGTGCCGGGGAGGAGCCCCCTCTCCAGCAGATATCTCTTCATATGGTCCGCGCAGGGGACCTATATAGCTTCCTGGTTGAAGCGATTGATGAACTCCCTCAAGGTTTCATCCTGTCTTTGGATGATGGCCTCGAGCGCCGCCTCAGTCTTTGGATGCCGCCGAGAAGCTGTGAATGAACTGATGAACTGGTTTTTCAGGTTTCGCCACGAGGTGATTGAGCCCGGGGTGAGTCCTTTGTACCAGTCCATTGCCGCCTTCCTGAGAGTCGTGGGGAATAGTCGGCATTTGATGGGCCCCCCGACATTGTGGTAATGCAGCATAGCCTCGAACCCGTCTATGTGTTCGACCGGGTCCGCGACTCCATCGTACTCCTTCAAGTGCGGGGGTTTCTCCATGCCCAGGGGGATGGGCGCTTCCATGTTAGCTTGCGACAGGGGACCGCGGGGGTCGTCCTTGTCGCTCCTCTCCGGAGACAGAGATGGGGACCTGTAATACTGTCGGGCACGACGGTCTTGGTCGTGCTGGGCCTCTCTCGAGCATGGTGCTCATTGGTTAATTCTTACACGCCCATCCCCGGAGTGTCTTCTTTCATGTCTCGCCGGGTCGCGACCACGTCCTCCGGCTTGGAAGATGGGCTGCCTCTCCAAAGGGGGCTGTTTCCCCGATGGGCAGGGTGACGGGCTTTGAGAGGTATCTTTGTAATGTCTCCGCGGGGGAGACGGGAGTTGGACTTCAGTCACTCGAGGAGGTGGAGTATGGGGCCTCCGATGCCTCCTCGGGGGTCTTCGGTCGTCTTCAAGTGCCCTCAGTCTTTCCCCTTGGGCGAAGATGAGGTAATTTGTTTGATTGATCGCTGCGAACAGTGCTCGAGTTGTGGCGTCCGCCCCGACGGGGACGAGGACTTCCTGAAACTGGGCAGCCTGGTAGTTCGCGAGAGCTGCATCGTCCTCTTCGAGTGGCGGAGGGACCGAGGAAGACGATGCAGTAGCTCCGCCGCGGTAGGTTGAAGGTCCGGGGGCAGTTGACGCAGGGATGGTGTTGTGACCGGAGTTGCCGGTGTTGTCAAGGTGTCCGTTTTTGTCCGCGGGGCCGTTGTTGGTGTCAATGACGCGTAAGTTTTGTTCATCGCGAGCTTGGTCAGCCATGACAGTGGTAGTTGAGTTGAGCTTTGGTCTTTGAGTTTTTCAAGACGGGGAAGCTATATTCCCACAGACGGCGCCACTGATCTTACCTGATCAGACTTGGACCGTCACGACTGGCTCCGAGCTGAAGTTTGAACGAGATGGGGGGGGGTACCTGCAAGGCACTCCGATGCTGAAGTAAGTGAGAGTACGAGCAGGCAAAAGTTTGAGTATGGATAAAAGAATGAATACCTGACCCTCTGGGAACAGAGGGTATTTATAGCCCCCAGCGCTGGGCCAAGGTCCCTTCATTGGGTCGGGCAGGTTTGGCACAATGGAGGAACTGCCAGGTTCTACGTGTGTAGTGGGGACCCGCACGTGGTCTCCTTCCTGGATGTTCTGCGTGAAGTATGGACGGACGAGGACGCGGTCTTTTCGGGATCCACGTGATGGTGTAGTGGACAGAGTCTGCCCTAGGAGGAGTGCTCGAGCTGAGGTCGAGCAGGATAGCATGAAGTTGAGGATGTCGCACTAGCGGAGAGTGTCGGGCACGGATGTGGCCTCTTGGTCGGCGTGACCCCTTGCAAGACCGTTTGGATTGGGCCTTCACCATTGCTTTTGGGCCAGCCCGGCCCAGTCCAGAACATATATATATATATATATATATATATATATATATATATATATATATATATATATATATATATATATATATATATATATATATATATATATATATATATATATATATATATATATATATATATATATATATATTGTCACTAAAAACTAAATAAAAATTGACTCCATACCTCCTACATGATAGGCAAAATTTGCAACTGTAACAACATCATTTATGAGTTGAATTAGTTTTAATTGAATTCGATTCTTCACCGCCCAACTAAATTTTTTCTATAATTACAAATTACTTAGCTATTATTATTACACATGTCAACTAAAAATAGCAAATTAAGACATTAACATTTTTTTAGTACCTTAAGACTAGTTCTTTATGCAACGCAAATAGAAACATTATTAACCACAACTTTAATTTCTCACCTATACTATATAAGCAACCAACACTCTCTTCTCTCTTGAAATTCACAACATTCTCTCATCGAAAACAAAAAAAAAAACGTAACACATATGGCTAAGTATTCAAAGAATGTGCTTGTTTTCTGCATTGGAATGCTTCTTGTAAGCTTGTGGTGCATGAAAGTGAATGGTCATGAAGATGCACCTGGAAAAGGACACGAAGATGACATTGTTAAGCCCTTGAAGAAAGTGAATGGTGACCAAGGAATATTTGGACCTGGAAAATCGTTACATGGAAAGGAAGATGCATCTGGAAAAGGACATGAAGATGACATTGTTCAGCCCTTAAAGAAAGTAAATGGTGACCAAGGAATATTTGAACCTGGAAAATCGTTACATGAAAAGGAAGATGCATCTGGAAAAAGACATGAGGATGACATTGTTCAGCCCTTGAAGAAAGTGAATGGTGACCAAGGAATATCTGGACCTGGAAAATCATTACATGGAAAGGAAGATGCATCTGAAAAAAGACATGAAGATGACATTGTTCAGCCCTTGAAGAAAACAGGTGGAGGTGGTAATAAAGGAGAGAAACATGAAAATCCTTTTAAAAGATGGTTTGGTGATAACTAATAAAGATTATTCAACTTAATTATGCTCATCAAAATAAAATAAAGTAACAAGGAGTAAAGTATCTCAAATTGTGAATTATTATGTATGTATAATTTTATTAGTTACGTTGGAATACACTATATTTTAGATGTTGGTTTAAATCTATTTTTGTTCTCTCTATTTTAATTTTTTGTCTTTTAATTTCTAGTTAAAAAGTTTAATTTTTTAGTTTCACGATTCAACATTTTGTATTTGGTAAAGATTGAACTCATGTCATCTTTATTATAACTAAATTGTTAGAACGGATAAAATTTGGAAATAATAATTATTGTAAATATTGATCAGATAAAAACGATTAAGTCTTGCTTTGAATTTCCAATATGTTTCTGTTGATGTTGATGTTTATTTTCCCTAAGTTGATTATTCAACGATCATGATTATTTTATCTTAGTTCTTATATCCAATTCTTTCGTGTAGAACTCACTCTTCTAAACTATGATACCCTAATCCCTTAGATCAATTGAATAGTTAGAACAAACAATTTTAAGAGCGTTAAATCCTAAGTCACAACTTATCATTTCTAATACCTAATCAATTACCAAGTTGAATTGGTTAATTTAGTTTAGATTCATAGAGTTATGGTTGGTAATCACCATATAAATTCGTAAACACATATAAAGTAATGAATACAAAATTAAACTTAATAACAATAATGAAGTAATCAAATAAAAAAATAATACGAAACACAAACATATAACCCAAGAGATTAATATAAATTCATCTAACAAATCCTAATCAATAAAAACTTAATTACTCATACTAATTAATAAGGATCATAATTGAAGTAATAAATAATAGTACATGAATCTCCAATTAGAATTTGAATTTTCCATAGCTCCAAAACTTGTTTTACAATCCAATTTATATCACAAAAAGAGTGTCATGAGAGAGAGAAAATTTTGTTAGAATTGACGTTTTTATTCAGTTTGCCTTTTTTTTTTTAAATTACAATCTAATTTATTTGTATTTGTTTTAATAATTTATATATTTTTATCTACTAGAAATACAAAAAAAAAAAATTACTTTTATATTTAAAGACAGAATATACCAGTATCAATTTTTTATTTATTTTTAATAATCTGAAAGCATTTTTTTCCAGAAGCAGTCAATTTTTAACATTATAATAATTGTTCTAACTTTAACTCATTTTTTCAAATAAATCAAATAATAAAAATATATATATTTCACAAATAGTAAGTTATATCGATATGTAATTTTAGTATTTAGGTTACAGCGTGCTATATTTTAAATGATAATTTAAATACTTTAAATTATCATTTTATTTTAATTTTTATAATTTTACAGTGTTTTATTTAATTTTTTTTTTTTTGGGATTTTTTAGATCCTTTCATATTTATCTTGGCACATTATTTTCTTACATACACTAGACGGAGATAATATTGTGTATGTAATGTCATTCAATTATATTATTTAACATAATTGATAATTTGCATATTAATAATATTTATGAGTTAATTATTAATGTCATGTATATTAAAGAATGATTGGATAATGATTGACTAATTAACAAAATAAATATTTTGCATTTCGTAAGAATTGAAACTATGTCCACTTCACTAAAAAATTCACTTCTTAACCATTGCAAATTATTGTAAAGTAGTTGCAGCTAATTTTATGGTTCCCCCAAATAACACCAAAACACAAAATCATGAAAACCAACAACATTCTTCTATTTATTTTTTTTAGGTATATTACTAAATTTTTTTCTAGCTTCAATTGCTCGTCAATATCCTTCTTGCTAAGTGGGACATCAACGCAACTTATGAACAAATTTTTTTTATTCCACAACCACTAACCATGTCAAATAAGGATCAAAGTTGCTTCATTTGATTCAGAACAAAGAAAACCGTAGTTAGATAACGACAACATCTAATCACGTCAACTTCAACTTTTGAATGTTTAACAATTATGAGAAAATCTATAATTCAAGGGTGATAACTGATCATTACATGCATATAATTGATTATCCTTAAATGAAAAGGTTAAATATGGTGAAAATAAGTGATTTATTTGAGAGTGTAATTAGTTACATATTTGTAATAATTGATTATCACTGATATGTTTTTAGTTTTTGCAGTAGTTGTAATTAGTTACATACAGTTAATTTTTGTTTTTAGTTTATGTTATTTATATTTCAATTCAACTGTAAATTGTATAAATACTTAATGAGTATCCTCAACAATGTTTAATGCAAGTTCATATTCTCACCCTCTGTTATATTCTCTTTAATTCCCTCTCTCATTCTCTCCCTCTCCACACTCAATTACTCCATTTTCACTAATCTTGTGATTTCAAGTTCTAACATTTGGCATCAAGAGTCTGATTATATCCACCAAACACCTAGTGTGCAACATGAATACAGTCTCCAATGAAAGAATCCCTACAAACCTACTCACCATTAATGCGAAGAATTACGATAAATGGTGCAAGCAAATGAAAGTGTTGTTTGACTACCAAGATGTTCTTGAAGTGATCAAGAACGGTGTGAATCCTCTTTTCGAAGGTGCAACTGATGCACAACGAGCACACATAAGGAAGAAAAAAAGAAAGACTTCTGAGGCAACTGTAGAAAAATAAACAATGAAGTTATCATCAAATATTTTTTTATTCCACGGAAGGAGAAGAAAATCTGAGAAGGGGGAAATCAAGGTCTCGCAACCAAGAGAACGGGTACGAGAATCGATTACGTAAGGAAAAGGTATTAGCACCCCTAACGTCCATGATACTCCACGGGATCCACTCTTGTTGTTCTAATCAAAGAGTATGTCAAGTCTAAAGCTAACAAGTTAAGGGAAAATGCATGAATGTAAAGTATTTACAAAAAGAAAGTTTTTATTATTTATGTCCTCCGCGGTTGTGAACCTTTGTTTCTACTTACCCTCTACGTGTAATGATAGATCAAGGCACTCGTAGTTCACCTAAAAAGGTGTTTTAGTTTGTTTTGTGTTTTTAGGCGGATAATGTTACATTCACACTCTAGCAGTTGACATATTGCAACCCGACCTTTGGAGAATCACACGTCGTATTGCGTAAAGCTGAAATAACACATCTTTTTTCTGAAAAGATTTTTAAAAGAAAATCCCGAAGGCAGCCTAAAGGAAAAAAAAGGTTTAAATTGGTTTGTATTTTTTACTTGAAAAAGGATTTAGAGATTTGAACCACACAAAGACTGAATGAAATGAAGGACAAGCTTCAGGAATGGACCCACTCATCCTTCTCCACTTCTTAAGGCTCATGGAGTGTGATTCTCATCATTATTTATTAAGTGTTTTTGAAATTGATAAAGAAAAAAGAAGTTTTAGTTTTAAAGATGAAAAAAAGGGAATGAAAAAGTCTAAGGGAGACTAAAGATCCTAATGTTGTCATGCAATGATGGTCATAAAGTTAGGGTGAAAGGGAAACATCTACCTAAGTTAGCATGCAAAGATGGACCTAATGTTGAGGATACAGAAGCTACCTAATATTGACATGCTTGGATAAGAACCTAAGCTCTAATTAGTTCACATATTAAAGAATATGAAACTAAAATCCTAAGGTAACATGTGATTAATACAAGAAAGAAGAAGAGAGAAGATGATAAGCAAACAAGTACTTTGAGCAAGTAAAGAAGAGATGAAAGCACGCAATGATCAACCAAAGAAGGCATGTTATGAAAATACATCAAACAACTTAAATCTACTGGCCCTAACATGTTATCATCCTAATTCTACCCAAAATAAGACAACATAAGTCAGGAAGAAGATGAAATCACCTAACTAGGCAAGTAGTAGTACAATTAAACAAATAGAAGACAAGACTTTAAACAATCTTAAAAGTATCAAACAAATGAAAGGCTTGAGTGAATAACTAGACCTCAATATGCTTTAAGACATCACAAGTTATCATCAAGAGGTCACATGTTAACAAGCATCACCTAACTAAAGCAAGCATGCATAGTGGAGGAAGATGAAACTCAAACAAATGGCAAGCATTGACCTAAGTCTAAGATAGTAGTGAGCATACAATTGGAAACCACATTGCATCAATGTAAGCATAATTTCATATCAAGATACTGCCTAAGGATTATGCACAATAGGTAATGGCTTAAAAGTCACATGAAAAAGTATCTATCTGAGCATACTAGCTAGTGAAGACTTATGTGTCAAGTGTCTAACTTATCATGGCATAGGGAAGTGAGGTGAAGTAAAAGAATATGAAGAAGTTTAGAGGTCAGTAACAAAGGCATCAAGATGTTATCATTATCATACAAGCAATGCTTGAGAAAGAATCACAATCAAATGACACAAGCAAAGACAACTAAACAACCTTAGGTGGACATAAGTCCTCATGCAATGCTAGCATGTGAAATAAGTTGAAATATAAAGGGTAAATGTGATAATATATGAGCAAGAATAGACACTTAATTCAGTTAGAACAAGTCTAATGATCAAGAAGAAATCAAATTGGGCATTGAAATCATGGCATAAGCATCATAGTACACAAACATCATTCAAACGTGTGAAGTGAGGTGAACACAAGTGTGTGAGCAATTAGGTATAGTGTTAAGCATTTGAAATGAGTTAAGTTATAAGATAAGACATGTGTTTAATACACACAAATAAACTATAAACATACTTAAGGTATCATACTTAAGCACATTCAAAGGTTGAAGCAACAAGTGGTCAAAACCAAACCCTAACATGTTCCTAAAGGCATGTAAGCATCAAGAAAAATATAGGTGAAGAGGGATCATGGTAAGAAGTTATCAAACATCATAATTCAGAATAAAGTGACCTATAATATTTCACATTCAAGTATCACAAACACAAAAGATATCATGATGAATCTCAAAGCAACACACCAAAAACTAGGCAAGACAAGCAAGTGGTTGAATGAGTTTTGAAAGTAAACAAGTGAACATGTATTAACCATGAAACATAGTATCTTGCATGATAAGTAAA